TCGCTGAAAACACAGCACCTGATGCTCACAGACCATCTTACCTAGCCAGCAATTTGATCTGTTTATCAAATGTCTGTCCTGCTCTTCCTTCAGAAATCCCATATGGTTGATACCTTCTTAGAAGTTGCTGCTCTAATAGCCTTGGACTGTTGCATAATAACTAGTGCATTTCACCCCACTCTGTGCATTAAAACTAGAACTGAGCTGAAATAGAAGATAAAGCAAAGAGAGATTCCTGCATTACAGGGGGTGGGACCAGATAACCCTTGGGGTCCTTTCCAAATTTGCAATTCTGTGATTCAGAGTGAAAGACAGGGAGATAGAAAGAAAGAGAGAGGAGTTTTGGGGGGGACAACTTATTCCCAATTCAAAAGTACCTCACTTTCCGTCAATTTTTCAGGGGATACACCATAGGAAAAATGCAAATCCAAGAATTGTTGCCCTTCTAAAGTGTGTGGCATGTAGGTCATGGCAAGGGAGACTCAATCTGTCTGCAGACTTGGGCTGTCTACACACTGTCACTTGCTCTGTACACAGTGTGCTCCCGCTGCTGGTTTGGGAAGCATTATACACTCAACATTATCCCCAATCCTTGTCTCTCCAGTTGTCTCTTATGTAATACCATGTTTTGATGTGTTCCCCTCTAAACTAATGTGAATCTGAGTTGAGAAAAAGAACAACTTGTGTTTTATCCAGAACAGTCATACCTTGGATCTCAAATGCCTTGGCTCCCGAACAAATTGGCTCCCAAAGGATCAAAACTCGGAAGTGAGTGTCCCAGTTTTCGAACGATTTTTGGAAGCTGAACGTCCGCCACAGCTTCCACAGCTTCCAATTGACTGCAGGATGCTCCTGCAGCCAATCAGAAGCCGCGCCTTGCTTTTTGAATGGTTCCGGGAGTCGAATGGACTCCCGGAACACATTCTGTTCGAGAACCAAGGTATGACTGTAATGTGTACACAGCTCCAATCGGCTGCTGTTTCCACACCATTTCTATATCCAAATAGGCCATTGTCTTCCTAGGAACCATTAACCTAAATCTGACAATTTTACTGTTCCGGGGGGGTGGCGGGATACAAATTTTAAATGGGACAGTTAACAGGCATTAATAAGCTACTGTAAACAGGGTTTCTTATGCGCAGGAATGGGGATAACTTTTCACTTTCATACTGAAAGTTTACAGCGAACATTCAGCGTAATGAAAACTGCTGCTAAAATGGAAAGAAAAAAAGTTTTACCACTATTAATATTTTTGCATCACAGAAACATGGTGAGGCCTTTGTCAGAAAAACAAAAGAAAGCATTACATTTTACACACAATTCCAGGGTAGAGGAAATTAAAAATAGCATTGCAAAGTTGGAAAGGAGCTGAATATTTAATGTAAGGTTTTATGAGAAATACAAAGATCACATTTTGAATGTGACTCAGCAGAAAATGTCTTCTATCTATAGTTTTAATCCCTCACATGAAAAACGCTGTAAGACTACTGCCTTTAAATCAGATGTGTTGATAGCACTGCCTGTTTTGTATCAGGGATAATTAATAAGAAGCTCTTCCAGATAAATATTTTTTCCTTGGTGTTACTCCCCCCTCCACCATCCCCGGTTAAATCAAGGAGAAATAATTACTGTGATCATTAAATTGACCAGGAATGAACTGTTAGGTTGAGAATGTAGGTACATCAGGGCACTAATAAGGGCAACAAGGAATCAGGAGAAGAGATAATGGGCATCCAGAGTGGCTGGGGAAACCCAGCCAGATGGGTGTGGTATAAATTGTTGTTGTTGTTGTTGTGCTGGAATAGGAGCTGCTGAAACAGTGACAGACAATTAAAACCCCATAGTTCCTGGCACTGTGAGTTGACCTGATCCAGAGCATTTATGGAACCATTTTGACGAATGAGGGCTAAGCTAAATGCCAGGCAGTACTCAACAAGCCATCTGGCTTTGGGGATAAACTCTCAACAAAGAAAGAGAGTTGCATATTTAGGGAGGAGACTAAAAGTATGAAACAATTCTGACCAGTGATGTAGAGAAATAGCAAAAGAAGCTGAAAACCAAGACCAAATAAACCAAATGAAGACAACCTAAGAGATATATGACCCTTTCCCTCAAGTTTGCCTTTTAGTCAGCTCTCCATTTAATTCGCTTCTCTGGTTATTCTCCTCTTTCGAATCCCTTATTTCCTTTCTGTCAAATAAAGTATTTTTCTTTCTTCCCTCCACTGCCCATTACCCTTTTCCTGATATTACCCTATCTCTATTTTTTATAATTGTATCCAAGTATATATATATATATGTGTGTGTGTGTGTGTGTCCCCAAATATTTCCATGTAATTGTATCCAGGTAATTTTCAATTGTATCCAGGTATTTTTCTTGTAATTGTGTCTTTACTACATGTAAATGTGAATTCCTAAGGTGACCCTTGTGCAATTGTTACATATGGCAACTTTGCAATGGAAATGACCCCCTTGTATCCTTGTTTGTTTAACTTCTCAATGATTGTAACTACTTTCAGGAAAATAAGAATTGGAACCCATGTATTCTAATTGCATCACTGTATTATAACCATGAAAGTATAAATGTTATTTTTAGTCTCAACCTAATCACTTCCACTCAGCTCCCCTTCCTTCTTCTATAAAGTGCCAGACTACCAGATCCATTTCCTTTGACCCTGTGGAGAGGTATTCAGCTGTTAGATAAAATTCTCATCCCTATTATTATTCTAGAAAAACAACAACCCAATTACCATATCATTTGCCATCTCTCCCTAGATTTCTAGGTATTACTTACTCATGTAGATAGGATTTGCACCCCATCTTGTATCTTGCACCTGAACCTCCCTTTTGCACCCTGCACCCCTTATCTTGTAAACTGACGAATAAGGCCACCCACAATTGTGATTGTATAAATTTCTGGACTTACCTTTGGGCGGGGTTCATCATACCTTTTGTCACCATTGCATAGGGAACTCAGCTGCAACCAAATAAAGGATCTTTGCTTTTAAAAAGCTGCTTTATTCTTTCTCTTCTTGGTTGGACATCACCTGTCTTTCCTACCGTAGAGGACCTCTTTGGGGCCCCAAACCAAATTCTCTGTGTTTTACATCTCCAACATAATAAATATTCTTAATACTGCTTGGTTTGTTGGTTTGCTTGATACCCCACTCTTCCTCTCAAAGGAACCCCAGGTGGCAAAAAGTGATAAACCAATAACAAATTTTAAATGTTTGTTACATCTGAGAAGAAGCCAGGAGGGTTCTCTGTAATCCACTAGCTACAGTGGTACCTCTGGTTATGAACTGAATCCGTTCCGGAGGTCTGTTCATAACTGGAAACCATTCTTATCCTGAGGTGCGCTTTCACTAATGGCGCCTCCTGTGCACAATTTCCACTTGCATCCCAGGGCAAAGCTTGCTACTGGGAGCAGCTACTTCCAGGTTAGCGGAGCTTGTAATGCGAAGCATGTGTAACCAGAAACGTTCGTAACCGGAGGTACCACTGTATCCCCCCCCCCCGCATTGAAACTGCTCAAAATAATAGTTCTATAGCACTTCTTCATTGGCCATCTAATATGACTTACATGCCTGAAACATGTATGCTTCTCTTCAGCCTGAGCGTTGACACTTGTCCTGCTTTCCATTTGATGTCATTGCTCCATTTCAGGAAATTATGTGTTTCGCTTCAGTGACAAGATGGCCTCCTAGATAGACACATATTCAGAGTAGATCTGGGAAACCTTCTCCATATGCTGTTGGACTACCTAGTCGTTGCCACCTTGTCATTTAGTCTCTTGTTTGCCCTTTGGCTGCTTCTGTCTTGCATTCTTACACTTTATCCGGATCTCACCACTCTTCCTGCTTTGTCATCACTGATCCCTGCTCTGGCTGCAGCTTGGATTCCCAATTAATTGTTTGCACCTAGTTCTGTCTCCGCTGTGCTTTGCAATTTAGTTCTTGAGCTTGTCCTCTTTTTCTTCTCTATTTGCCCATTATACCATGACTCCACAAAGCCAAGTATATATCTCTTCTCTTATATCTGAACATGAGATATTTGAACCTACCATGCTTGTTGATGCTTCTGGCAACTAGAAACCATATTTTGAATGTGGTCATTTCCCAGGGACTTTCAATGCAACCTTGCACTGCCCTTGTGCTGTGATAAAATTCTTTTGGCTTTGTATTAGTACTGTTATGGTACTTAATTAAGTTTGCTTCTTCCATGCATTGCTGTGCACTTATCTGTAATAATTTATTATCAATGAGAAAGTGCTGAAGAAATGAGAGATCGTCTCCTGTAATAACAACAAGCTTTTTGGAGAACATCAAATCCCTTGAGAGATGTAGGCAAGGAATTATTTTCTTCAAAATTTAACTAAAATAGTATCAGGCTTATTTTTACTATTTAAAGATACTGAAGGCAAAGGTTAGAGCAAAATGATTTATGAATGATCATTCAATAATCACATTTCATAGCTTATCTGTTTCTGTAAATGATATCAACCTGTTGTTAAGCACAAACAGCACTGGATGTGTATTATAACAGGTGAGGCAAAATATGACTTTCCGTTCTTCTGTTCCAACCTACTTCCTCCTTCTCCTCCTTCTGTGATCACTCGTACTGAGTAGGATTGTCTTCCATGAACATGATTTTAACAGTGAGTCCGTAAGTGATTGTGGAGGCCGATTCTGGATCCACACATCCTTCCACAGTGGGGACATTGGTTTCCTGGTGGGAGTTGATCATGATGAGGGTTTGCCAAGTGTGCCTTCCTCTTAGCACATTTCTCCCTTTCATCCTGAGTTCAAGCGTCTTCAAAGCCCATGACACCTTTGGTAAAGGTTGTTCTCCAACTGGAGCGCTCGCAGGCCAGTGTTTCCCAATTGTTGGTGTTTATACTACTTTTTTAAAAAAAATGCCCAGAGAGAGTCTTTAAACCTCTTTTGTTGACCACCATCATTACACTTTCCATTTTTAAGTTTGGAATACAGTTGTAAGAGGCCACAGGAAATAATGAAGCACTAGCCAATTGCTGCTTCACTAGGACACTGTCACAGCCTGCCTCCCTTCAATATACTAAATGGTTGTGTGAAATGGGTGCAATTAGGTTTCACAAGTTTAATCCTATAGTATAAAGATCCATGGCTCGGTTTGCACCTTGCAATGGAGAGCTGGAAATGGTGCATTTGTCTCAAATGCCTGATACTCTAATATACTCCAGTATTATTTTAATGTGTACATTCAAGTCTCTGGCACAGGTTCTCCCAGTGCTGGCAACTAATGGGCCCTCTGACATTTGCCAAGTTGGAAAACAATGTCCATCTATCTGTTGCATTTTCACCATAGTGGGTTATGAAGCTTGTATTCATAGACTGTTAAATTGTCAACCAAAACTGATGTGATGCCCATGCATAATGCAGAGATATTGTCTTCATTGTGCTTTAGCTTAAGGGCTTGGATGTGCTTTCCATTTTTCTGATATGTATCCTAGGGCAATTTTTATGCACCCCACACCATCTTTTATGCCAGAAGCCAGGACTGCCGAGCTGCCAGGGCTGGACTTTGGTGGGGCATTTGCCAAGAGAGTGTCAGCAAGCAGTGTTGATGACCAGGGGGAAAAACAACAACCCTAAGCTTGGCTTATAACACTTTTTGTTATAATTGCTGATATGGGTGGGTGGTGGGTGGGTGCAATCGTTCTGAAGCCTAGAAGTATATCACAGCTCAGGGAAGCCTTCAACACATATGGAGAAGTTCCACATGGATCCATAGGTTTCCACTGTAGCCCTAGCAGTTCCTGTTGTACACAATGGATGTGTATGTTCAGTTTGCTTGGTTTCATTTTCAACAGCTACATTTTCCTTTGGCAGAGTCAGCCCTATAGTGTAGAAGTGGCTTAACACAAAAGATAGTGTGCTCTGTATCGGGCAGGTGCCAGCTATTAGACCAAGACAGACTGTCTGCATGATGCCATCTTTAATCATGCTGTAAATGTCCTGACATTTGTTGTAAGGTGGCAGTGCCAAAGACACCTGTCTTGCCAGGAGGCTAAGGAAAATTAATCTGGAGGTAGACTGGAAGGAAATTCTTTTGAGCCACTGCAACTATTTGATTCATTTTTCCTTTTCTTTTTTTAACCTTGTATGAGAAACATGGGATGGAAAGTCCAAATAGCTTATGCAGTTATTGAATACATGATTAGGTTTCCTGTGCTTGTTGCAATGAAAATGCAGATTATAGATGAGCTTTCTTTAATTTTAATAGGATCCCAAAGGTATTCCTGGATGCACTCTGAAATATCAAACATATACAAATACTTAATAACTCTTTACTGTGAATTTAGATGTCTACTGAGTTGCTAATTTGTTTTTAAGAGCTCTTGGAATATTGCACATATGAAAGGTGAATAGTGTTGAGATAGCATCAAGATGTAACAATATTTTCCCCCATTTTTAAGCAAACCAATTATTCACATTTTCCAAATGTTATAGTCATAGACAGTTAAATTGTGACCAGGTGTAATTCAAACATTTTGTATATTAGTTTTTGGTCATGGTTTGAATGATTCCTTTAACATGACTACTCAGGCTAATCAAATTACACAACTAATGAGTTGTTGATTGGTCTTACTAATTTAGAAAGTCACTCATTCATGTCCACAAACATCTGCAGGCAGTCCACTTCCTCTTGATCCAGGTTGCAACTCAGCAGCATGGACCCGAAGAGAAGCAATTATATAGCTGACCCCAATGTCATCTTCCATGGTCATGGTTGATGTGAGAGAGACTTTTTTGGCCGTTGGCCCAGCACGCCACAACACTAGACTGAACTGCTGCCCCAATCTAGATGAGCCAATGTATGTATGTTTTTAAGTTATCTTTGAAAGTGTACTAAGCTCCTCATGACCTACCATCAATGCTAATATTATCATTACTAATGATAAGAAACAAAATAATAAAAATAATGACTATGCACCCTATTCCAATATCCAACTTAGACCACAGCAGGAGTAGCTAGTGTGGTGCGTCTCATTTTGTTATTGGACTCCCAACTTGCACCATCCCTGACAATTGGTTGGTTTGGGATGGGGTCATTGCGAGTGGGATTCCAACAGCATATTGGGCACCATGTTGGCCACCCTGGATCACAGCATAGAAGGCAAACATAGAAGTAAATGGGAGTACCCAACCAATGTGTTCTGTCAATGTAAGGATTCCCACTTCCCCTCCGAACACTCCTAAATCTCTTCTGTGAGTCTCCCCAGTCCCACCCCCTCCAAGTTGATTTGGGGAGGGTGCAGAGTGGGGAGGGAGGGAAAGTCCCATTGCACAAGGGAAATCCTTGCAGTGACATAATGTATTAGTTGGATACTGTCCAACATTTTTTAAGTACAGTGGTACCTCGGGTTACATACGCTTCAGGTTACAGACTCCACTAACCCAGAAATATTGCTTCAGGTTAAGAACTTTGCTTCAGGATAAGAACAGAAATTGTGCTCTGGCGGCGCAGCAGCAGCAGGAAGCCCCATTAGCTAAAGTGGTGCTTCAGGTTAAGAACAGTTTCAGGTTAAGTACAGATCTCCGGAACGAATTAAGTACTTAACCCGAGGTACCGCTGTATAGTTCAACTTCCCGCTCAGCCATGTATGCAGTCTTGGGCTCCTTGGAGGGAGGGATATAAATGTCATGAATAATAACAGCAGCAAGAACAACAAACTCTAAATCCTTGTGGTGAAATATGACAAAATCAGTGCAAAGCCATCTTCTTTCAACAGAACTTGTTCTTGTCCTCACAACGCCAACTTTGTCTCATGTCAAGGGTGGGATCAAATTCTCAATAGTAAAATTAGAGCTCTTCAAATAATAAAATCAAATACCCTCCCCTCCTCCCTTCTGATCCCAGATGATACATTTGGTTTCCTCTTCAAACCATATACATCTTAATATATCTGGCCTAGAATCTCTTGCATGGCTGCTTCGATCCTATTTGGTTGTTTGTATTTTTAATTGTTGTCGTGTCCTTCTAATGACTGATATAAGGGATTTAGGAATGGAGGAGAGTTCACTAGCAGTTCAAGATAGTTACTGCTCAGCAGGTTTTCTTAGAATGCAGGTATTTTGGAAGTGAAGAATCAACCTGGCATTGACTGGAAGCACTCATGTCCTGTGTGCAGACTTCCTATAGGATTTGGTTGGCCACTGTGAAACCAACAAGCTGTTGACCTGATCCGGGAGGCTGTTCTTATGTTCAAAGACTGCAGAATAGTGGGAACCAAATTGAAACTTCATAGTAAATCCACAAATACACTTTGTAATACAAAATCATCATCATCATCATCATCATCATCATCTATTTTTAGTTTCATCACTACAGGGCTGAGGGACCTTTGGCCCATGAGTTGTTGCTGGTTCCAGCTCCCTACTGCCCCAACTAGAAAGGCAAATGGTGAGGTTTGATGGGAGCTGGAGTCCTACAACATTTGGAGGGCCACTGGTTTCCCACCCCTGATTTAATAGAAGTAGTTTTTGGTGGACAAATGGGTCAAAAGCAGGTAGCAATGTGCCTCTTTATTCAGAAGTGCGTAGCAGCTATACACATCTAAAAGTTTAAACAAATATCTATGCATGGTTGGGGTCAGGGATAGATAACCCGTCTGTTTTGTATTTGCTTTTGAATGCACAATATTGTTCGTAGGTGGAAGTGGCACAGTGCATATGACCATCCCCAGCTCTGTGGGACAGGCTGTTTTCCACCTGCAATGGGTTATCACATTGGGTTAAATATGAAAACTAATAATAATAGGTAAATGGTACCACCGTTTCCCCCAAGCACATGGCATGAACCAGATGAGCTTGTGTGCATAGATCAGTTGTTCCAGGCATGGAATGGGAGTGTCTCAGGATCTCTTGCGTGTGCTATGGTGAATTTCTGCAAGTGGGAGGAGGTGCACATTTTAGATTTTGTTTCCATTAACATCGTGAAAGATCTTATGAACGTATGGATCAAGAAGCTGCTGAGCTTTCTAATAGGTATTTATTCATGTGCAAGAAATATCTGCCTAGTGTAGGCTGTTTTGTAAGAGCTTTTTTTCCCATCTGGCAATGCCAAGATGTTAAACGTTGTAGGTTTTAGGGGGAAGAACATCTTTCATTTTCATTCTTTGCATGACTAAAGTCATTCAATTATCATTCCATTTAATTAAAGAGCTTTTTTATGATTTTCTTCTAGTGAAGGGAAAAATGACCAGCCATTAAAATTGTGATTAAATAGTGGGTTTTTAATTTTTTATTTTAAAAATGGGGTAGATTACAGGAAAGAGCCTTGGGATAAAGTTAGCAGGGTGGGGCAAGGAGTCCTTCTGATAGTGTGGGAAATGTACTATCAGCAATAAAAATGGAATTGGTGTTATTTACTAATGAATGCAGGATGCGGGTGGTGCTGTGAGTTAAACCACAGAGCCTAGGACTTGCCGATCAGAAGGCCGGCGGTTCGAATCCCCGCGACGGGGTGAGCTCCTGTTGCTCGGTCCCTGCTCCTGCCAACCTAGCAGTTCGAAAGCACGTCAAAGTGCAAGTAGATAAATAGGTACCACTCTGGCGGGAAGGTAAACGGTGTTTCCGTGCGCTGCTCTGGTTCGCCAGAAGCAGCTTAGTTCTGCTGGCCACATGACCCAGAAGCTGTACACCGGCTCCCTCAGCCAATAAAGTGAGATGAGCGCCGCAACCCCAGAGTTGGTCACGACTGGACCTAATGGTCAGGGGTCCCTTTACCTTTACTAATGAATGATTAACTTACCTGCCTCTTATTTTACTCCAGTAAATTTTTTCCACCTACTTATTTTACTCCTTTGAAATAAATCAGTTGGTTATAATGGAATGGGGAAGGGGGGGAGAGGAGAGGGCTGCATCACACAATCAGATGTGTGTGCAAGTGTGTATGTGTGTGTCTGCGGAATAACAATTCAAAAGTGGTCAAGTTATTACACTTTTCTCAAAACTTCAGTAAACTGCTTTTTGTTTTGCATCATTGAGTTCTTCCCTTTCAATTTGAATAATAAGCCACGTTTTAAAAAAACCAACAATGACCTCTAAAATATATGTGGTTCTGAGATGACATCAGGACATCTGTAGGAGGGTGATGACAAATTGGCCAATTTGGTATTTGCCTGAGTTGCGCTAACAGTGCAATTCTAAGCTTACTCAGAAATAAGTCTCTTGAGTTCAGCATGGGTCAGCAAACTAAGGGCCGCGGGCCAAATCAGGCCCAATTGCCTTCTAGATCCGGCCCGCGGACGGTCTGGGAATCCAGACAGCCGGTATAGCGCACGTGCGCCATGGTTTTTGTGACTCAGCCAGGCTTGGGGGTCAAAAGTGAGGCAGGCAGCTGCTTGAGACAAGCCCCTCCTCCATCCATAGCGCATGCACGCAGCAATATTTTATTTCAGGGTGGGGGGTGGGGAAGAGGGAAAAGGAGCCACAGTTTGGATTTCCACCATGGAGGTGGTGGCGACTGACCTCAGGAAGGGCAGTTGCGGTGGCAGGGGCTCAGAGGCGCCTCGGGAGCGATGCCCGCTGGTGTCTGTGGTGGTGGTGCTCCCTGCCAGAGGAAGCAGTTCTGTGCTTTGCTGGGGAGGCCGCTTGTTAGCTACATGGTGCGAGCCATAGAAATAGCCGCCGCCTCGTCTTCCCTCACTCGGGGAAAAGAATGTTTTTGCTTGAGCGGCGTCGGCCTGACTTAGCGTGGCCAACAGCTTTTCCCTTCACCCACGCATGCACACATGCTCTCCAGGGCTGACAAGAATGGCACACTTACCTCAGCCCCCCACTCCGCCTTACAAGAGAAATAATAACTGTCAATGCGTAAAATGCAAAGGAAGCAGCGTGGGTGTATGAGGGAACATCCCCCCCCCCCCCGAAAAAATCATATTTGGGCAATGTTGGGGTTGGTCCCAATAAGGGTTTTTGCCAAAAATGCAGGTCATAATCATGGCAACTTATAATCCACCCCCCCACAAGGTCTGAGGGGTAGTGGACCAGCCCCCTGCTGAAAAAGTTTGCTGACCTCTGGTTTAGTGGATCTTGCTTCCAGGTATCTGGGGCTGCAGTCTAGACCACTTGATACCAAGAAACACCAAATCAGTTTTTCCCCCCACCCTTTCCCCCCTCCATTACTTTTAATGTTATGGTCCATCCTGCTGCCTTCAATATCTGTATCCATTGACTGAGTCGTTATAGCTCATACATTTTCATTTGTGTGGAAAGGAACAGAAATTCATTTTTATTGCAAAGAAAGGGTTATTTTTTGTTTTGTTTTTGTGGGGATTTTTTGGTATTTTTTTAATTTTTTTGCAATGCAGAGAGGAAAGTAAGATGTGCACAGCTTGTTGCAGTACTGGCCAAAATACTTGCAGTAACTGCTATTGCTCAATCCAAGGGCTATTGGGAAACAGAGCATATTACAGTAGTGTATGTCTGGAGTGGAAGATAAGTACAATATAAATACATTTCTAGCCTGGGACAGGCACTGCAAATGGGCTTTAGGACTTTGGCACTTCCTTCTATGCTGGAGTGGTCTGCTGGCCGCATTATGAGGTGGTGAAAATTCAGCTGTCTTGGATTTATTTGTGTGCTGTTTGTGATGCCAATTGGTTCTCTCAGGCTT